ATATGGTTTTGAGAACCTGAGTTACTGGTTTTCCAGTTTCCTTTTTTTCTTTTTGGATGGGAGCATATATTTTTTTTGTTCCACATCCCTCCAACAAGAGTTTATTCTATGATTCTCTTAATGTCTTCTGCTAGGACATTTTTTTTTTCTTTTTTTTGAAGCCTGTGTGTTTGTTCCTATTCAGTTGGATTTTGATGCCCCCTGAGTAACATATAAGCCACTCCAACTCTTGGAGACAAATCAATTTGCTCCTGAATGTAGCTTGCTTGAAATTTGGCTGGGAAAGTGCTACAGGGTGAATGGAGGGAGCATGTTTATGTTTTGTAAAGTATATGCAGTGTGTGCTGTGCTGTTTCTGCTCACCACATCCTGCCTTCCTGGCTACTGGGTTTCATTCTGACACCCTTGTGTTTAATGAGCAGCGTACAGCAGGATGCCAGCAATATGTTCTGAAGTGCATGAGTAATCCCTGGTGTCTGAGAATAGAATTGGGATGAGCAATCCAATGAAAAGCCAGTAATTCCTCTTATTTCAGCCTCTCTGTKCTCTGAGTCACACTTCAGATGATGCCCCAAGGTCAGTTGACAAAGAGATCTGAATTTCAGTGCAACTTGAYGGTGCACTGCCACTGCTGGGGAAAATAGTTGTCCATTTGGAAGTCCTTTTAACATAGGCAACTAACTAAACGAGGAGATTCTGCTTGTCTTACAGCTGCTTTGGCCCTTACAATTGTTAAGCTTTACTCCAACATTTCACTTCATAAAATGGTCCTTAACTAGCAATGGGGAAAACTGCAAAGGAAGTATACATAGGGTGGAAAAAAAAAGAGCTAAACTTCATTGGAACTTGGCAAATATTTTAATGTCTGCTTTGCCCAGGAATTTGTGTTGGCTGCTCTGGTTGTAGCTGTGGTGAYGGGATTCATTGGAATTTTTCTTGGAGTTGACTTCCAGGAGGGTGTTCCCCAAGAGAAGCCATTTGCATTGCAGGACAAAAGCCAAGCCTTACCTAATAAATGTCATGGGTAAACACCAGTCTTTTGGCAGACTTTATCACTGCTACCTGTTGCTGGGCAGACTGTTGTTTCCTCTGAAACCAGTGACGTTGTCCTGGACAGTGCTGGACCACTGGATTTGATCCACTACAGCTGTCAATCACAGTGAGCAGAGGTGTAAACATCCATTGCCTCTAGAAATTGCATCCTTCAAAGAAAAGCTTTAAAAATTGTTTCTATGCCTATCTCCTCCAAGTATTTTTACTAAGAACTTTACAMTTAATATCACAGTAGTCTTGCATTAACCATAGATTGTGCTTGCAAGTCTCAATTTAATCWTGAAATACATCATATATTGCTTCCCCTGATTGCTTCACAGGGGCACGGGGGTTCTTATTTGGAGGTTAGACAGAAAGTGTGGAATTTGCTTTTTCTGCTTCAGATATGAAGGCAACTTTCATGCCTAGACTTGTGCATATTTCTTCAATAACAGTAGACATTCTGTAAAAATTTCACCTTCTGCTTTTAAGAGGATGAAGCTTATCAGTATAAAATAAACCAACTTATTTTCTGAGATTCTTTCTTTAGAGAGGAAATGGAAATGTTGCACAGGCACTATATGTCTCTCACAGATACTTCTGTTTTCTAATGGTATTGTGTTTAACCTTTCAACACRCTCTTCAATATTAGCCTGCTTGTCAGTTTTCTGATAAATTGCACCTTGAGTTTACTACATGCTGTATTTATGTCTGTGCTGTTTTTCAAGTGCCGTTTTGCTATTTTTTTTATCAATAAATAGTGATGTGGGCAGTTGCATTTGGTTAGGGCTTTTTTTTTTTTTTTTTTTTTTTTTTTTTTTTTTTTTTTTTTTTTTTTTTTTTTTTTTTTTTTTTTTTTTTTATACAAAATAATCCACAAAACACTGTCTGGACTTCTTTTGATGTCACTGGCATCTGGTTCCTAATCTCTTAAGTCTTTCCTTCCAGACGTCTCTTGGATGACGGGACTATTTTTATTCAGATACTGAATGCTGGTTGTTATCGTGGGAATGGTTGGTGATCACACCCACAGCACTATCCAGACTCCCTGCTGCTCTGGAGCTGCTGAAGTTTCAACTCAGAGAGAGGCATACTTTAGAAGAAATGTTTGAGCTGTTCATGTACCTATTCTATATCTTGGCACCCACCTAGAAAGACAACTGTGTTTCCTTATGCTACCTTCGTTATGCTCCTTTCTGTAGGAAAACAAAACAAAAAAAAAAAACCCAGTTTCAATCTCTCAAAAATAGGTTGCTGAATTTCATTGTCCTGACTCACCAGGAAGATTGCCGTGGTTGGAAATTTGCAGAGATGCTGTAAGCATTTGGGTGGATGTTGAGTTTATAATCACCAATGCCCATAATGATGCTATTGCTTTATAATGTTCTTTTAAAAGTAAATAGCAGCACAGCTGGTGCTTTTCTTCTTACTGCTCTAAACCACTCCATCATTCCATTAGAAGATGATGCTCACAAAAGAAAAAAATGTAACTATTGTTAAGGCACACTGAAAAACCATCCACCTTCTCTAAAAGCATAAAGCATTTCTCTTCTTGTGTCACTTGGCTGAGTATTGAGTTCTAGGCTTTTGCCCTCATCTCTCSATGTTTTATCCAGAGTCTTGGAGACAGTCCAGTTCTTTCTGTTAAAATACTGCAGTTGCTGCTGTGCTGCAGCATATGTATTGACAGGGGATGCTGAAATGCCAGGCTCTGCTTCTAGTTGACTTTTGCTGACTGCCTTCACGATCCAACACTTTGATGCATTACACACAAATACTTCTCTTTGTCTGATGTTTCTTATAGAATGCCTTTTTGTTATGTTTTAGTTTGAATTTAGAAGAAAAAATAAATTTAAAGCTTCCTTTACATTAGGAAGACTGTAAAATGGTCAATGTATATTACAACTGCTAAAAGAAAAAAAAAAGGAGAAAATCTACAGAAAGTAAGCAAAATATTGTGTAAARCCTTCCTTAATGAAAAATGGAATTTATTTCTAACAAGAGGAACTTCAGGCCAAACCTGAATAATCTACTCTATTACAAATGCCTAATTACTGGTTTATCCTTGAGGTAAAATCTTTGGCTTTTGTAAAGTGGAAATGGAAATCTGTGATGACTTTACACGTTTCTTTTGCAATTACCCATGAAGAAATAGTCATACCTTCTGTATTTGTTGACTGCAGTTTTGTCTGCTTGTTTGTTTTATTTGGGGGTTTTGGCTTTTTTTTTTTTTTTTTGAGTGGGGCAGGGGAAGAGGGTGGGACTGGATGAAAGTGGAGCAGTTTCTTTTGCTTCAAAGATATTTTATCCCACTCGCTTCCCAGCTTTGGATATAAACGGTTTAGGTCTATTTTCATTTTAAAGACCSCTCCCCCCAACTCATCGGAAGGAAAAAAAAATCCATTTACCCACGAAGATGCCATCAGCACCAGTATAATGATTTTCACTCTACCCAAAAGAAAACTAACAGTAAAGTGGCATTTGGGCGCATCAGGGCAACAACAGAACAGTTCCCACCGCACACAGATGAATGGTATATTGTTAAGAAGACATTTTCATTTGTTCTTTCCAACACCTGTGCTGCTCACAGCAAGAGGACAGTCCCAGTTTGGGAGCTGTGTGGTTGGCGTTGGCAAACCTCGCTCGGGACTCAGCCGAGCCGCAATTTCTCCCAATCCCCGGCTCCCCAGCAGCCCCAAACCCGGTGTCCTAGGTTAGCTGAGTATTGYATTCCTATCATCTGCTTATGTTAGAGGAAAGTTAAACAACCCTTCTGTAACTATACATGATAGTCGAGACTGCTCTGGTTTGTTTGGTGATGTTCCTCCCTTCAAGGACAATGGGAGGGAAAGGGACAAGACACAAAC